TGCTGTTGAAAATCCTTATAATCATTTGTTTGAAATTGATATCTGAGAAACTGTTTGCCTTCATTTCATGTAGCAGTTTTTCTAAAGATTTTTCCTGTGTTTTCATTTGGGGCCTATTTCTTTGTCTCCCCATTTTTGGTTGCCTCTTTATGTTTGTTTCTGTGTATTAGATAGGTTTTCTATGACTTAAAATCTTTGTAGGGTGGGCTTATGTAGTAGGTGTCCTGTGGGGTCCAGTGGTGCAGTCTCCTCAATCACCTGCACTGGGTGATCCCACAGTGTCCCTTAGGCAGATTATGTGAGCCCTTTTATTGTATTTGAGTCTTGATTGTTATTGGTTTGTTCATGCTTTTGATCAGCCCTCAGCCTGGTTGACTATGAGACAGCCTCACCCACGGTGTGGGAGATGCTGTGTAGGTGCTGGGCACATAAAATGGAATTTCTGGGGTTTGGTGCTAGCCAAGATCTTCCTTTGGATATGCTACTTGTGAATCTTATTGGATCCTGCTCTGATGTTATCTGAAGTTGGCCAGTTGGGTGTTTTGGTTCTGGGTCTCTTGGGAGGGACGCTGGTGCATACCATGTCAGCTGCTACTTGTGACTGGTCCTGGGCAACCTCTCAGAAGCTACAAGTGATCCACTTTATGGCTGCTTCTGCTGGGCCTGTGTGTACACTGGAAGGACCAAGCTGCCAAGACTGGCTTTTACCAGCACCAGGCCCAGGAGTGCATCAGCAAAAGTCCCAGGGTACCCCGAGTTCCACCTCTGCTAACCTCTTCCTGTTGGCTTCCTTTAAGGCTCAGTCAGTGAAATGGCCTTTGGCTATATTTGAGTCGCATGAGATAGATTCTAGCTCTGGTGTCCTGAGCTAGGGAGTCTGGCTTTTGGCTGTGACCCTATGCTTTTCCTGGGGAATCCCCAGTAGCTGAGATAGTCCCTGTGGAACCTCAGCTTCTGCTGGTAGGAGCCAGAGACAGCCCTTTTCATGTCTCTACCCTTCCTGTTAGTCTTAATGTGCCTTCTGTAAATCATTGGTTATAAGATTCTCTTCAGCCAGTCTTCGGTTGGTCATTCAGGATTGTTGTTCTATAATTTAGTTCTAATTCCAGTTTTATCTGTGGAGGAGGTGAGTGTACCTTCTACCTACTCTGCCACCATCTAGGATATCCTCCTGGACTTTTTTTTGTTAGGGGTTTTTTGATTACTGATTCAGTCTTATTACTAAGTCTGTGCAGATTTTCTGTTTCTTCATGTGGAAAATATGTTTTTACAAATTTATCCATTTCTTTACAGTTATCCAGTTTGTTATTGTGTAATTGTTCATAGTGATATCTTATGATTCTTTTTTTGACATTAGTAGCAACTTCTCATTTTTTATTTTACTTGAGTATCTCTCTTTTAGTGAGTCTGGAAAAGGTTTGTAATTTTTTTTTTTTGGAAGGAAGCCGCTCTTAGTTCCATTGATTTTTTTTTTTTTTTTTTGGGCGGGGCGGGGGGAGGTGGTCTTCATTTCTACTCTCATCTTTATTTTCTTTCTTTTGCTAACTTTGCTCTTCTTTTTAAACTTCCTTTAGTTGTAAAGTCACATTGTTTATTAGAAATTTTTCTTGTTTTTTTAGATAGGCCAGTAAGGGTTGTAAACTTTCTTTTTAGAACTGCTTTTCCTGTATTCCATAGATTTTGGTGTGTTATATTTGCATTGTTTTGTCTGAAAAGTGTTTTTTATTTTATCTTTGTTTTTTGTTGACCCGTTGATTCAGCAGCATTTTGTTTAATCTATACATATCCCTAATTATTCCAGTTTTCTTTGTGAAGTTGCTTTCCAGTTTAATACATTGTGATCAGAAAATATGATTGATATAATTTCAGTCTTACGTTTACTAAGACTTGTGATGGAACAAGTGATTTATTTTGAAGAATGTTTCATGTGTACTGAGAAGAATGTGTATCCTGGTGCTTTTGGTTAGAATGTTCTGTAAATATCTATTAAGTTCATCTGATTTAATGTGTTGTTTAAGACAGATACTCTTTTAATGATTTTCTCTCTAGATGATGTATTCATTCACTTTAATGGGATATTAAATTCCTCTTCTATTATTGTATATGTTTATTTCTTCATTTAGGTCTATACTTAAGTGCTTCTATATTAGGTGGATGGAGACAGTAAAAATGCCTCCTGTAAGTACCTTAGTTCTGGGAGGGAGTTCCAATTGTCTCCTGTCCCTCCAGTAGACACTTTTAAATTCGTAAATGATTACCATTCACATATGGATGTAGATGCTCTTTAAAACTGCTGCTTTTGTCCTGGTGAGTCTTCACAAAAGCCCTTTCACAGTAAACCTGTTACCTATAGCCCTATGACTCTCCTAGGGGTAAACCCTGTTGTGTTTCAAAGCCAGGTGTTTTGGTTGGGGGCTCTCTCCCATATAGGTTCCAAGAGTTGGGGTGCCATATGTGGGGAACTCTCCCTTCTCTTTTTCAGGGAGAAGCTCTGTATTTGTGAGATCTCTCCTGATTGTATGTAGGTTACTATGCCTGGTGTGGGGTTTTTAGCAAGACCAAGTATTCTGCCTCTACTGCCTGACTGGAGGTGGCCTTTTATCTTTGTTGTGAAGGAGTTCAGCTAGTTTCAGGTTTTTTTCAGAGTGTATTGTTCCATATGTAGCTGTAGATTAGTCGTGTCTGTGGAGGACCTAAGTTCAGGCTCTTTCTACATAGACTTATTGAACTGCCTCTCGTTGTGCTTTTTAAACCGGAAGGAGAAGCACAAGTATGAATATAATCTTAAGGAATGTACCAGTAACTTATGTGCCTCAAACAGTAAGAATTACTTTTAAAATAGGTGCAGAGGTTAAAATTTTGCTTCTTGGTTCTTTCTAGTTATTCTAAAATGGTTCTGTTTTTCAGGTTGATGTGCAAGTCAGGTGACAGATGAGCCTGAGTGAATGTTTTGGTTAGAAAGTCAAGCACAAACATGACTTTGTGGTAGAAATCTTTGGAGCTCTATCTAGTTTTATTTTTCCTGATTGATTGTGTGATAAGAATGATCAAACTATCATCTCAACACTGGCAAGATAGAATGTTACTGGAAATAATGTTGTCTTAGTGTGCTTGTCATTCTGAGCAAAGTAGCCCTCAAGAAATATTTTTGAAGGTAATGTCTACATTGATTCAGGGAGAGAACTGGGGACAGGACCGTTTTAGAAGTGCAAGTAAGTGGGTTCCCTGGGCCTTTTCTTTTCCTCACCACATCTTCATTTCTTAATACTTTGATTACATGCCATTTAAAAAATTTCATCATCATGTCTTTAAATGTTCTTTGTATAGACAGCAAATAATGATAATTTAAATTCTGTGAAAAACTTTACTGGCTGTCCCATTAAATAGTAAAGTTGGAGTCTGAAATGGCATAAAGTAATTTCTAAAGACTTAATTTGGGGCGGTAAGAAAATATTTATTATTGAATTCATACTTTATTCCACAGGTGGGGTTTGGAACTGGGGACTGAGTCTGGAGTGGTGGGTAGGAGGCGCTCAGAGGAGATGGGGAGTTGGGGCAGGTGTGAGGGCTGCGCACGAGCCTTGCTGAAGCGTACTTTGCTATCTTCCACCTGAGTGTTGGGGAAAAATTCGGAGTGACAGAAAATGCCCCTTCCCAGATAGGGCATCGGTCAGGCTCCCTTGCAGCCTGCAGCATCGCTCTGACTGAAGGCAGAGCTTACCTTGCTTCAATGCAGGGTAAACACTTACTCTGGCGGGATGTTCTAAGGGCAACAACCCCTGTCGTATTGGGGTGATCACTGCGTGAAGTATATAAATGTCTAATCACTATGTTGTACAACTGAAACTAATATAATATTGTATGTCAACTGTAAATGAAAAATAAATTAAAAAAGAAAAAAGACAGCCTCTGCCTGGCAGACAGAGCAGAAAGTGCTGAGGTACACAGAACTAACAAGGGGGAAGGCTGGGATTCTCACCCATTCCTTCATACTTTCCCAACTGCCTACCTCTGTTTTTGTAATCTGCAAGGAGAACTTGACCTTTTGAGAATTAGGAAGCTCCTAACAGGAGCTCATCTGCACTGTAAAGGAAAGCCTGCCTGCTCTATGCTCCAGTTTAATCATTCTTTCAGGAGATGAGGAACACCTGCTTCAAGGCCTTCTGTCTAATGACCTGTCATGTTCTGTTCACTTCCGCAACCATTGAGGAGATGCATTCTGTATCCCAGCTGGCAATGGGGAGGGGATGGAGACAGTGCCCCTGGCCCAGCACCTTTCCATTTAAAGTATTAACAATAAAGCAAACTTTTTTGGAATTTATTTAAAGCACTTTAAGAAAGGCTATTTCAAATTTGCACTTACAACTTTTATTTGATATCTTACATACGATTTATGCTATCTTGTTCCTGAAGTGCCAGTGTGGGTTGAACCCATGGCACCTTTATACCTGGGGCAAGAGGCATTGAAAGATAAGATGAGACGTTGAGTAGGTTTGTAGAATGGGTTCGAACAGACTGAGAAAGTGTTGTTGCCTGAGCATTTTGCCCAGGGGCATGAGGTAGGAAGTGGGTAGGAATTGTGAACCTGCCCAGAACAGGAGAATCGACTTTGTTAAGGTCTTTCCTAACTCCCCCAAGGCATGTCTCGTACAGCTGTTTTCTTTTTTCCAGGCCCTTGTACTGCATCAGGAGAATGCAACCACCTCTTTCATTTTGTGTTTAGCTTTGGCTGCTCGTAGCCTTCACATTCTTCAGTTTTCCCTTTTTGGGGATAGAATCTCAAGGCATACCCTTAGCTTGATTCGAAACAAGGAGCAGGTTAGCTGTTCCTTGAATTCAAATTACCAACTGATTGCTTGGTTCCAGCCACACATGGAGTAGAGAAAGAAGGAACAAACAATAACAGTTCTAAAATATGGCATTTGTCTTGATGGTAAGCAGAGAAAATACTCACACGAGATGTTTGACTTTGTCTTTTTTAATCTCTTTGTATTATACAGCTTTACTCAAAAATACCCTCCAGTAAAATTTTTATCAGAAAAGGATCGTAAAAGAATTTTGGTAAGTTTGTGTATCTGATTAATATTTATAATATTAAGAAACTTGCTCTCTAAGTTGAAGTATAATTGACACACCATAAAATTCACCCCTATAGAATATACAATTCAGTGGTTCATAGTATATTCACAAAGGTGTGAAGCAGCACCATGTTCTAATTCTAGAATATTTTCATCAACCCAAAAAGAAACTGACCCCCCCGCCCGCCCCCCCACCCCCCCGTGCCGGCCCATCCCCAAGGCCCATTAGCAGCCGTTTTCCATCTCCTCTACCTCCAGCTCCTGGCAACCACTAAGGCTACTTTCTGTCTCTGTGGATTTTTCTGTTTTGGACATTACATGTAAACAAAATGATATAATATGTGATCTTTAGTATCTGATTTCGTAGAATAATTAGAATAATTTTCCCAAGGCTCATCCATGCTATAGCATGAGTCAGTACTTCATTCCTTTTTATTGCTGACTGATATTCCACTGTATGGATGTACCACATTTTATTTATCCATTTATCAGTTGATGGCATTTGGGGTTTCTACTTTGAGGCTGTTGTGAATAATGGTTCTCTGAATATACATGTACAGGTTTTTGTGTGGGCATGGGTTTTCAGTTCTTTCGGACATAATGCCTAAGAGTGGAATTGCTGAGTCATGGTAACCCTACATATTACTTTTTGAGGAAATGTGAAAGTTTTCCAGAGCAGTGGTTTTTAAAACCTGTTTTGGTTTGCAGACCACTTTAATGACTCCATGGGGGGGCTTCCTCAGCTAGTAGTCTTACTGTTAATTACATCAATACAAATTTACCAGTGAAAGAATTCTATTTAACATTTGTATAGCTGAATGTGTCCAAAGAGAGTGGCACCTTTGCATTAAAAAAAATAACAGCTTTTTTGAGATATAATTTACATACCATATAATTCACCCTTTAAAGTGTACAATTCAATAGTTTTTGGTATACTCACATATTGTGCATTCATACCATTTTAGAACATTTTCATAACTGCAAAAAATAACCCCTTATATCCATTGGCAGCCACTCCATCCTCCCACCCTCCCAGCCCCAAGCACTAGGCAACAATTCATCTAATTCATCTACTTTCTGTCTGTACAGATTTGTCAGTTCTGGATATTTCACGTAGGTGGAGTACGCAATATTTGTCCTTTTGTGACTGGCTTCTTTCACTAAGCATGTTCTTAAGATTCATTATGTTGTAACATGTTTATCAGTACTTTATATGTTTTTATTACCAAATACTATTGCATTCTATGGATATACCACATTTTATTTATATGAGTTATATGGTAGCTCTACATTTAACCTTTTAAGGAACTGCTAGGCTGTTTGCTAAAGTGATTGTACCTTTTTATATTCCCATCAGCAATGTATGAGAGTTCCAGTTTTCTCCTCATCCTTGCTGACACTGTTGTTTTTTGTCTTTTTGTTTGTAGCTCTCTTAGAGGTATGCTGTGGTATCTCATGGTTTTGATTTGAGTTTATCTGGTGGTTAATTATGTTACTGTGCTTATTGGCCATTTCTGTGTCTTCTGTGGAGAAATGTCTGTTCAGATACTTAGCCCACTTTTTAAGTTAGGTTATTTTTCTTTTTATTATTGAATTATAAGAGTTCTTCATTCTGAATATAACTTCCTGATTATATATATAATTGGCAAATATTTTCTCCCACTTAGTTCTTACATTTAGGTCTATGACCCATTGAGTTGGTTTTTGTATGTGGTATTAGATAAGGGCTTTTTTCATTCTTTTGCATGTGACTACCCGCTTGTCTAGCACCATTGGCTGACAAGACTTATCATGCCCCTTTGAATTGTCTGGGACCCTTGTTGAAAATCAACTGACGGTTAACAAATATTTCTACATTCTCAATTTTATTAACGTTGATTGCTATGTTTACTCTATGCCTTGCTTACTGTAGCTTTGTAAGATTTGAAATTGGGAAATGTGACTCCTCCAACCTTGTTAATTTTTTTCAAGATAGTTTTGACTATTCTGGATTTCTTATAATTCCTTATGAATTTTAGGATCAGTTTGCCAATTTCCCCAATGAAGCCAGTTGGGATTTTAATAGATTGCATTGAATCTGTAGATCAATTTGGGCAGTATTGCCATCTTAACAGTAATAAGTCTTGCAATCTAAACAAGGGTGTCTAATAAGTTCCTGATAAATTCCATTTATTTAGGGCTTCATGAGTTTCTTTTAACCTTCTTTTGTAGTTTTCAGTAAGTTCTGCATGTGTTTTGTTAAATTTATTCTGAAGTATTCTTTTTGATGCTACTATAAATAGAATTGTTCAGTTTCATTTTATGTTATGTATTGGAAGTGTTTGGAAATGCAATTGATTTTTGTATTTTTTTTACATCCTGTAACCTTGCTGAAATCATTGGTTAGTGCTAAGGTTTTTACAGGAATTCCATGTCTGCTTTTTTAATTATTGCTAAGGATATTTGCTGCTGAGTGTTTGAGTTACCTTTCAGTGTCATTTTTCTTACTGCAATACAATTTTATTCCCTTTTACCATCTTTGTACTATTGCTGTCAAATATATTTTTTTATTTTATTGTTCCAATAATACAATTATGTATTTTATACAGTTAGGTTTTTTTTGTTATGGTAGAATATTAATAACATAAAGGTATTATTTTAACCATTTTCTGTGGCTTTAAGTATGTTTACATTATTGTTTTTACAGCTTGGTCTTTAAATCAATTAAGAGTAGACAGGAGAAAAGGCAGTTACGTTGACTTTTATAATTACTTTGTGGATTCCTCTTCCTCCCCCATCCTCCCCCCTCCTTTTTTCCCCCTGTGGATTAAGTTACTATCTGAGATCATTTGCTTTCAGCCTGAAGAATGTCCTTTAGTATTTCTTATATGGCAGGTCTGCTTTTTTGTTGACTTATTTTTAAAAGTTATTTTTGGTTATATATAAGCTTCATGGCTGATAGTTTCTTTCTGTACTTTGACTAGGTTATCCCACTGCTTTCTCTTTATTTACAATAAGTCAGCTGTTAATCACATTAGGGTTCCCTTTTGCTTGAGGAGTCATTTTTTTGTTCTGCTGTATTAGTTTTCTAGGGCTGCTGTAACATTTACCACCAACTCACTAGCTTAAAACAAAAGAAGTTCAATCTCTCCAGGTTCTGGAAATTAGAAGCCTGAAATCAAGGTGTAGGTAAGTAGGGTCATGTTCTCTCTGAAGGCCCTAGTGCAGCAATTTTCAACTAGTGTGCCACAAGAATTTTTAAAACATGTAATACCCGATTATTTATTCAGGGACACTGACTTCTTTTCCCTTAGATTGTCAAATAAAAAAACAACAGCAGGATCCTGGCAGGTGTAGCTCAGTGGATTGAGCGATGGCCTGCAAACTAAAGGGTCGCCAGTTCAATTCCCAGCCTAGGACTTGTGCCTGGGTTGCAGGCCAGATCCCCAGTAGGGGGCGAGCGAGAGGTAACCACACATTGATGTTTCTCTCCTCGTTCTCCCTCCTTTCCCCTCTCTAAAAATAAATAAATAAAATCTTTAAAAAAAAGTAGCTAACACAATAGCCATCCAGTATGAATGAATCAAAAGTAAAATTTTTTTGTCTGATTGGCAAAAATATATTTTTTGGTGCACCACAGGATTTTAGTAATTAGTTTATGCATGCCATGGAATGAAAAAGGTTGAAAATTGCAGCTCTAATGGAAAATCTCCTCTTAGTTTCTGCTATTGCCACTAATTCTTGAGTTCCTTGGCTTGTAGACTATCATCACTCCAGTCTTTGCTGCTATTATCACATGATATTCTCCCTGCTTGTCTCATGGTGGATTCAGCGGTCACCCTCCTTCTATATGCCCTTATCTTAATTGCATCTGCATTGGCTGCATTTCCAAATAAGGTCGCATTCTGAGGTTCCAAGAAGGACATGAATTTTTCAGGACAATCCAATCCAATCCAATAAAACTGCTTTTAAAACTTTATTCTTATGTGTGATTTTTAGTATGATGTATGCATCTCTTTGTATTTTATATTTATCCTATTTAGAGTATTTTGAGCTTCCTGAATGTATTTCATCAGTTTTGGGCAGTTTTCAGACATTATTTCTTTGAATATTCTTTTCTTTTTGGATACTTTGATTACATGCATGTTGGTGTGCTTTTCTCTGTGTGCTTATTGGTGTCCCGTATTTATCTGAGCATGTTCTCAGTTTCCTTTTTTTCCTCTGCTCTTTGGATTGCATAAGCCGTCTTGTGATCTATCTTCAAGTTTGCTGAATCTTTTTATCTGCAGTCAAATGTTGAACCCCCCCGTGAATTTTTTTTTTTTTTTGTTTTGGTTATTGTACTTGTCAACTCCAGAATTTCCATTTGTTTCTATTTTGTAATTTCTCTCTTTTTAGTTTCAAGTTACTTCCTTTAAACATGGTTCTCTCCAATTCTTTGAGCATATTTGTGATGGTTGATTTGAAGGACTGTATTAACTTCAACATCTGTGCTCTTGCAAAGGCAGTTTTTGTTGCCTGCATGTTTTTTCTGTGTACAGGTCACATTCCTGTGTCTTTGCATATCTCATAATTTTCTAGAAAACTGGAAATTTTAGAGGGAACCCCCCCCTCAAAAAACGGAATTGTCTTCTGGAGGGCAGGCCCCTTGTAGTACAAGACTTCCCCCACTAGGTGAATGATCTAGGAACCCGTCTGTGTCACTGTAACAGCTGGTGGTGGTGTGAGAGGCTCTTTTTGGCTTCAGTGAATTGTTTTTGAAGAGCCTTTCAGTGCATTTGGCCACTTCATGATGGGTGATTTATGAGTGCACCTGCCCACACTGTGCTGAGTGTTCAGCAGGTTTTGACCAAAAAACGGCATGACCCCCATGTCCCGCCTTCCCTATTCACCCTGCCTCACCATGAGTGACTTTTTTTCTGTTTCCCTGGATGAAAAAGTCCTCAAACAGAAATGTTTTGCCAATGTGGAAGACGTGAAACAGAAAATGGCAGAAGCACTAAA